TGCAAGTCCTGAAGATGCTCGATAAAGTTTGGCTCTCAGAGGGCTGATGGGCAGAGCTGGCCAAGATCTCTTCACTCCAAACCCTCTTGAGAATGGGCACTGAATTCCCACAAGATGAAAGGGAAAAAAAATGGGTTTAATTCTAATGTCTTATTTTCCAAATTCCCCCCTAAATAGAAAATCTTGTATTTTTCTCCAGTTAGGCCTTTCCTTTTTCCTCCCACAGTAGATGTCTGATGGCTGAATGGTCTAGGGATTTTACTCTTAGTTTTCTTATTTCTTCATTTCCTTTTTCTATACTGCAGGTTGGTGTTTTTTTTTTTACTTTACTGTGATATTAGAAACATTGCTAGGAGAAAAAAAGCACAAATCTAAACTGTAACTCCTGACACCAGATGCTTTGAAAAGCTTTCAAGTTGTGCAGAACTGGATAAGCAAAGAAAGGAAAAAATAAACCTACATCATTTATTTTATTTCACCCAGGAGCTAAAAGGAAAAGGTGCTGGAAAGGGGAAAAACAACACTTCAGAAACATGAAATTAAAAGAAAGGTTTTGAAAAATTAAAAAGATAAAGTTCCTCCTTGATGTTTAAAACAGATTTCAAATTTTCAAACTATTTTGTGCATGTTCCTGCAGAGAAATGGGAGGAGTTAGAGAGGGCTTTACTCCCCCCATGCTGTAGCAGGGGATGTGAGTGATTGTTTGGGTACCACCAGCAGGGTAAGGATCCATAGGGGCCTTGGATAGGGAGGGATGCAGAGCGGGCATTGAGCCCCCAAAGCCCACCATCCTCTGCAGTCTCACATCCCAGGGGAGGCAGGGATGCGAGCAGGAGCTGGCCAGGCAGGAGATGTTTGTGGGCAAGGGTCCATCCCCTGCTTGTCCTTTTCCCTCATCCCTGCACAAGGAATGTTTAATAAAACCCCTAGGCTTGCCAGCCCTCTTATATATCATAGTTTTAAATATACATGTTTCAGATGCTGAGATTTACTCTTTGACAGGTACAAGAGAGACAGCTATAAATGCTGGGCTGGAAAGGAGACATCGCATTAGTGCTCTAACAAAGGGCTGCAAGCTGCAACACTTGCTTTTGATCAAAAGCTTTCCTTATTCTACAGCGTGGGCAGAACCAATATCTCCACTCCACGCTGCCTGAACCCATCAATGAGGTGGGTGACTGACAGGTTATGGTGCTGTCCCACTCCTCAGCCTTCAGGCTGGCCCTGTGCCCACCCTGGACCCCCAGTCTGATGCTGGGGTCATCAAGCTGGCTCCAAGGGGGATGTGATGCAGCTCCACAATGGCAGCAGGACTGGAGCACGGTACTACAAAGTGGGCTGCTGTCTTGTATGGAGAGCTCTTGCAGGAGGTTTGGCCAAAGGGGACATGGGGACCACCATGCCACCAGCTCCCTCCCTCGCAGCCAGGCCACCAGGCATTGATGCTAGGGGCATCATCAGGTGCATTGCAACAGGAGTGTTGGGCTTTGGATAAACTAATTGTGTTGCAAGGAGTGGAGCGAAGCTTTTAGATTTCAGAGCCAAAATGTGGCATCTTTATTAATGTGTCTACTTGAGTTCCCTGGGACGCGATGTTTTCTCCTCACCCTGGCCATCCATCTGAACTGATAATAGGACTATTAATCCATTTTGTTGACAGCACGCACAGACCTCCAGTGAGGCAGGAGATGGGGAGGGGTGGGGCCGCAATCGATGCTGTTTTGTTCCAAAGGGATCTTGTCACAGCCTCTGGCAAACTGAGCATTAGCTGGAGGTGAAAGGATGGAGTGTTAACCAAGGTTATGGGTGATCTGCAACTGGCCAGCTGTGGCCTGGCTTCTCCTTGGTCAATTGGAGAGCATCCTGCAAAAAGCCACTGAGATAAGAGATGTTCTACAGAAGCCAAAGCTGCAGGAGACCTTGTGCTGCAGGGCATATCCCACTGTGCAGGTTCTACACTCAGCAACCTCAGACCTGTCATTAACACACCTCTAATGCCCCTCCAGACCCATAGTGAAGTTTCTCAGAATTCAAAGCCTTTTCAGCCCTGCCTGGCACAGCATCTATCATGTCAGTGATTTTCTCTACAGTAGCAGAAGTACATATATGTAATAAATAAAAAAAATGCATATCCTTTATATATGTGATATATGAAGAAATATTTCAGTGGAGAAAGAGCTGGGAAATGAGGTGCATCCCTGCCCAGCTCTCACTCCTCCGCACAGTCCCTGCCAGTGGCTGATCCCAGGCGCCTTTATATTCAGACTGATCCTGTCTGGTTTTAAATATCTCAAGCCACAGAACTTTCTCCCTCCAGGGAACCACGTCGCAGCCTCATAATTTTTGCTGTCAGCAGAGGGGATTTTTTCCCCTGTGACATTCAACCTAAATGCTCCATTTCTTCATTTCCTGTCATCCCTTCTGGTGATGCCCCTTGTACTCTATTAAATAATTCCTTCCCTCCCTCTCTATTTACTCCAACCAGATCTGTAAGGCTCTTAGTTTGTCTCCCCATGGACAGCTCTTAACCAAGCAATATATATATTTAAGCCTTTTAATCTTCTTTCAGAAATCAGTCTCCCTGTGCCTTTGATCATTTGTGTGGCTTCCCTCTGAACTGCCGCCAACACGTCTGTGCCGAGGGAGCCCTGCACTCCGGCTCTGGCCACACCTGAGCCTCCCAGTGCCTCCCTGCTGCCCTCGGATGGGCCAGGCACAAACGCCAGCGGCTGATCCATCCTTGCTGGCTTTATGCATCCTCCTGCATCCCCCTTGCTGACCCCCAGGCCCTTCACTGGGGAGTTGCTCCAGCACTTGGCTCAGCCCATCCTGCTGTTGGCTCCTACTTGCCTTTGCCTTCCAGCCGTGCACACTCACATCTGTCCAAGGCACAGCTCCTTTAGCTGCTTCCTGCCCATATTTCTAATCTCACTAGGCCCTTTTTGTGTTAATTTTCTATGCTTGCTGGAGCTCACAGCACCTCCCAGTATAGCATTATCTGCCAAATTCATTAATGTGTAGTTTACTCCCTCTTTCCAGGTCATTAATGAGGGTATTAAATGAGAGCAGCCCTAACCTAGATCCCTGCAGTACCCCATAAACACCTCCCCCTGCTTCTAATTACCCTTTGTTTATGATCCTTCAGCCAGGTTTTCAATCCACATGGCACAGTTCAAGTCATCAGAATTAATTTTTCCATGGAAGACTTCGAAAAGGCTTTGCCCCTTTGTGCTGTCCCCACCTGCCGCCTCCCCGTGTCCCACCCCTACTCTCCCGTGGGTCACAACGACCTACGATGCTGCTTCCCAGAGAGGGTAAGGAACACCTGGCAAAGGCTTTATCCTCTGCCGGGGGATGGCGACCGTGGATGGATGCTGCCGCGGGGAACGGTGTCCCTGGAGGCAGGGGGTGTCCCGGTCACCTTCTAGGCTCTGTTCCAGGCGGTGGCCGCGCTGTGCCGCCCGAGGGGCTCCGCCGTGCGCGGTCCGGGGCCGGTCCCGCCGCAGCGCCCGCGGGCGGCCGCGAGATGGCGCCGTTGTGCCTGGGAAGGAGCGGCGGGGCCCGACGGCGCGGCCGGGCCGGGCGGGGCGGGAGGGGAGCGCCGGGCCGGGCCGGGGAACACCGCGCTTTGCCCGCGGGGCGCCTCGCCGTCCACTTGTCGGGTCCCGCTGCCAATCGCCCCGACGGGACTTGTGCCGCCGCAGATCCGCGGAGCCCCTGCCCCGCTGCCCTTCCCGCCGGCCGGCCGGCCGCTACCGACGGGTGGGCTGCGGGGCGGTTCGCGGCGTGGATGCGCAGGCACCCGCCCGTCTTTAAGCCCCTGGCGGGGAGCGGCGTGTTGGGAGGTTTCCGAGCCGGGCGTCGACGGCGCCCGCGATGCGCCGGGGTTGCGCCTCCGCCCCGTCCCGGTGACACCTCCCCTGGGCCCCGTAACGAGACCCCGGGACCCTGCGTACGGCGGGCGCGGAGTCTCGAGGTGAAGCATCAGCACACGGACAACGAGATGCTTTATTTCATTGTTAGGAGGAGGCGGCACCGCAGGGATTTGCCCAGGGTTCAGCAGGGCGCAGCGAGAGCCGCCGGGGCTGGAGCCTCCCGGGAGCGCCCGGCGTTCCCAGCTCCCAGGGGTGTCACACTGCCCGGCGGGACGGGCTCCCTCCTGCCAGAGAGGGAAAGAGGGCGAACGGGCCTGAGGGCGCTCCGCGTGGACCCGGTGGCCCTCCCGCTGCCCGCAGGGACCCACCGGCGCCCCGCGGGATGAGGAAGGAACAGCCGGTGACCGCGGCCGCGCAGACAAAGCGCCGGCGCGCCGGCAGCTCGCGGGCAGCGGGGCGAGCTCAGCAGAGACAGCAGGGGCAGCAGAGGCACCCACGCTCGCGGCTGGGCGGCAGGTCCGTCTCCAGCTCATCCCATCCCATCCCGTCCCGTCCCGCTCCGCTCGGCTCCCGGGCCGCGCCGGCCCCGCCCCGGCCCCGCCTCCCACCCGGCGGCGCCTTCCCATTGGCGGCGGCACGGCGGGCCGGCCACGCCCCCGGGCGCCCATTGGCCGCGGCTCGGCACCGCCCGCCCCCGCGCCGCTCGCCCCCG